GAACAATAATAAAAGTTTGCTAATTTTGCCTCTAAATAGCTTTTTTAGACTATCACGTGATCAGTGAAAGTCAAGAATTAATCATTTAAAACATTTAAATGAGATTCAAATGATAAAAGACCGGCGGCCATGTTGGAGGAATGAACAATAGATACTAATGAGAAATCCTTTGTTGAAGTTTCTCCAAGATAGCCGCTGTGTCGTAACTGGAAAACGAAGAATACATATTATATAATGCAAATACCTAAAAATACATATGATTATAGTTGAAAACGTTTGTAATTTAAAACTTTTGATTTTATTCCTTATAAACAAATACTCATAAAGTAAATATTATGTCACATTAATTAAAATCCATTCTTTTTTTTAATTTACCTAACGAAATCTTTAAGTGTTAAATATTTGTTGTTAAGGGCTGGACTCACGTTATCCGTTATGTAAATCTCATATTGAATTTAAATACGCGATGCAACAGTCCTAAAACAAATTAACAGTATTCCAAGACAGCGATTCTTTCTTCCTCTGGCATTCAGTTCGTAAGGAGAAATTGTTTTTTGATTGTAAATTGATCCTCGTCATTCTAAATCTTCTTCAGTATCTTCACTTTCAAATTGCACACATTCATTATTTTGCCAGTATTCTTAAGCCCAGCGCACAAGATAAGAAAGTGCGTAAACGAAAGCCACGCAAGTCGCTTTGATTAGTGTTTTGCTCATCGTATGAGCACCATTTTTGCTATTCAGCTGTCTTCGCGAGTCAATGCGCCGATTTATTGTTGTGTTTGAATTTCCTGCCTCTCGTGACCAAAATACGTCTTTTTCCCGTTCAAAGCGACCGACCGCTGCTTTAGTTGACACAGCCTCTCATGCACAAAGACCTTACCAAAAACAAAAGAAAGCACGAAAAAAAGTTGTCATTACAATAGAATGTGAATTTTCATTTTCTCCGATTCTGTATTCCCAGAAGGTTCAAACTCTTGCTCACGCTAAGCCTCCAATCAGAGAAGATTCAAATTTCTAGAGCTATTGTAATGTCAATATTTTTCGTATTTTCGTGCTTTCTTTTGTTCTCTAAGCAAGTGAGTCTGTTGTCTACTAAAACAGCGGTCGCTCGCATTGAACTGGAAAAAGGCATTGCACCAGCGAGTTTCTGATGCGATTCCTCGGAAGACAACATATCTTATGAAGACATCAAATCTTATGAATTAGGCTCATTAGGAATAACATGAATAGCAGACAAAGTCAATATGACTAGCTTTTGTTTCAGAAAGCAACAAACAGTGCTTCATGCATTCAAAATTATGAAAACTGAAAACCTTAGTGGAGATGCAATAAATCAATATATTTCTATTTATATGTATTTCCTTCACTTTTTTCCCCTCCCGAATAATTAATGAATATGAAAAGTCGTTCAAAGTCCTCATTGTCGGACTTATTACAACGTTTGCCGCGGAGGTCGTGAGTAACTTGATTTACACTTAACACTAAACTTGAAAAAGACAGACGATGCTGTTATGAGGTAAAAAAAAAAAAAACGAAAGATAATCCGAAAAATCTCATTACGATTGATATTCAACCAAAAATGGATAGACAAGACGAAATCAAAGATCTTCACGTCCTCTTGGATAACGGCGTTAAATCGGAGGTCCCGTCTACTCTACTCTAACCCAGGTACGACCATCCTCAGTGTCTGTATTTCCGCAGCATAACCTTGGGGGGCACTAACACACTAACGACTAACAAATCTAACTAACTCGTATTTGTAAACTGCACGGCCGCTTTAAAAAGCGCCTTCAATAGCAGTATGTCCAAGTCCCTCACTAACACTGGAAAAAATCGCGCGCTTTAAATGTTGTAAATTTGATGTAAATATGATGAAAGTGTCCAAAATTCTGTAAATTTAATGGAAATCATTTACATCAAATTTGCAGATTGGGCACATCATATTTACATCAAATTTACAACCTTTTTTCCAGTGTAACTATGTAATCCAGATACAACTCAGATCATTGTTCTGCGAATTCTGGAAAGTCGGCCATACGTATCCTAACCTATCCTACCCTATCCTAAAATATGATATATGATAGATTAGTTGACTACGAAATGTGTTCTAAGGCACAACATAGTGATTCGGGTCTCACTTTTATTGCGAGAATTTTATTTAATAAAGGTCAGAAAATATAGGTAAACTGTATTCAAACGGATGAAAAGTACGTCCAATCAGAAGTAAACTCAGGCCCCGTTCACACGGGGCCGGTTCCGTTCGGAACTGTTCTAGTTTAGGCGCTCGTTCACACTGGAACTCTGGAACTGGCCTCATCTGAGGCTGGTTTAATGCTGAATTTAAAACTTTTTGGCAATTTGTCGAAAAAAATAGTGTTTTTTAGTCTACTAGTATTTGCTTATGCAATACCTACGAATCGCGTGATCTTAAGACATAGTCAACTGTCTATGGGAATGTACTGATCTCATTTCTACCGATCATGGCTCACTTTATAAGCCTGTGACTTGAATCGCAACCCAATGAAATATTTCCTTGGCAGTTTTATAACTTCGAATTGAAAAAACCTTTATCGATTAGGTTCGATTTCACTATTATCACTTCATATTCCAAAATGAACAGCTGGAATCAGTAAGATTGCAAACACTAAAATCGTGAAAAATACTAAGTTACCAAATTGTGACAAACACCGCAATACAGTGTATATATAAGATAATAGACCAGAAAAGAATTGCATAATTTACGGTCAAAATGGTGGGAACTAGCGGTAAAAAACTAGTGTGAGCTTCGTCGTTCTTTCCAAAGAAACAGTTGTGTAAAAAGATAAATGTGACACCGTAAAATAATGGAGTAAAGAGAAGGATTAAAGCCAGAAACGTCATCAAGTTGTTTAACCTATGTTTTACGGTGTTGTAAGATTTATCTTTTTACACAACTGTCACATAATTTGRTACTGTTCCCCAATGATCTGCTATTGTCCACTACTAAACCCCACTGTCTGCTCAATCTCACGGTAGCAACGAGGTATATGCTGTTTTTTGTTTTTTTTTTTTAGTGATCCCTGGTCACAGGGCTTAAAATTTGCTACTTTATCCCCGACAATTCTGGTCGCTGATCCGTAGCAATCCCTGAATAACTTTTGTGATACTTATTTATTCCCGAATCAAAATCTAAAATACCAATAWCGCTGGGCACAAAATGGGAACAAAAAGATGATGGCAACGTTCTCTCTGAGCCCCAAAAATGAAAAAAAAATACATGTGATCCTTCAGCCAAAAAATAACGCTTGATCTCTGACAACCTAAACCTCACTCCTACCCTGTTAATTTAATAGATGCTTTGTTGACTCAGCTCATTTCAATTAATGACATGTTTTAATTTTGGCCGTATAAAGCCATTATTGCAAATATAGACAATTTAAATAAATATTCTATACAATAAATTACATTTTTCCATTTTCTTTCATAATTTTTGTAACATACATAAATCGTTGAGATATTTCTTCTAACAGAGTTGAACAGTTTGTAAACCATACCATCTTTCCATAAAAGCTCACGTATAACAAAAAAAATTGCGATAGCAGGAAGAGCCAACAGAGTCTGTTCTTCTAAATAACTGTTCTTGTAGTATTTTTTTTCTTGGGAAAGGGAATTTGAGCTACATTTTTGACAATCTCACAAGCAAATGTGGCGCCTTTCCTTCTTTAAAATAATTTTGTTCCTGTCAAACGCTTTTTAAGGTCAAAAATGGCTTATACAACGTTTTTATGGTCAAAAACGGATTATATTTTTTAAATCGGAAATTCTAATTTTCCTGGCAAAAATTCTTAGAAAGTATCCCTTGCCTGGAGATTTCTTCTTTTTTTTGCCTGATTTTTTGCGCTGACAACCAGTTGTGATGAATTACGGCTGGCGGGCCACAAGGACAGATATATTTCTCCAAGGAACCCGTCGGCTCCTCCTAAGATAGTTTCTCCTGATATACAAATATTCTGGAAGGTGCTTCATAATTTGTTCAAAATCAAAGATAGCTAAATTTCGAATGTAAGAAAATCGTGCAAAGGTTCTTCGATGAACTCATCCTTTCAAGAAATCTGAACACATGTTTTAAAGATATATTCTTGCCGGTGTACATTTGACAAGAACAACATAATTTCTTTTCTGAATCCTTTCTAGAAATGGAATTTAGTGTTTGCAATAGCCGATTTGCATTATGGCGTCATTTACTACAACTACCAGAATGTTTTGCCAACTTTCTTTGGTAATGCAATTAGTGCCAATAGTTTCATTAATCTCCAAGGGGTTTAAAAATCTGAATAACAATGAAAATGCGCAAGGCTCTCTGGTAGTTGCAGTAAAGTTACGTCATAATGCAAATGGCCTAATAAGGTGTCTTCATTATAACATTTTAGTATAACATTTCACTTTGTTTGATTTACCAGTTAGGATGTGTCGTTACTTGTCATTCACCCTATAGCTAGATAACGATAAGAGCTAATTTGGCCTTACTTCCACCAGAGCGTCAATAAGCTCAGCTAATTGGCAAAGGGCTGATTGATTCAATTTATTGTTCTATATGTGTCTCAGATAATACTTTTTAAGGAAGGTGAAACACGAAGCTTGTTTGCAGCCTAAAAAAAAAATAAAGCAAATCAATGAATGAAATTTATTACTGTAGCTTTGACTATACCAAACCAAACCAAAAACCACAGCCAACCAAAACAACAACAACAACAATGCATTTGATTATTAAAGATATATATTAAAAAACGCAGAGCAGAGCAGAGCAGAGCAGAGCAGAGCAGAGCAGAGCAGAGCAGAGCAGAGCAGAGCAGAGCAGAGCAGAGCAGAGCAGAGCAGAGCAGAGCAGAGCAGAGCAGAGCAGATCAGAGCAGAGCAGAGCAGAGCAGAGCAGAGCAGAGCAGAGCAGAGCAGAGCAGAGCAGAGCAGAGCAGAGCAGAACAGAGCAGAGCAGAGCTTTTGTCGAAATTCGTTTTTTTCCAAATATATCAAAAAAATGATGAGGTCCAGAAAAACGGTAGACATCATCATTAACTTCAAACTATTGCACAACGTTTTGGAAGAGTTTGAACAAATTTATCTGTTCGATTTCGAGTAATATGCAAAAATCAAATCCATAAAATATTTTTTCAATATTACTTAGGATTTGCAACTATCACTAGATGAAAAGTTACACTGAGATAGTACATTGTCATCTGAAAACTATAAGCAAAAACTAAAATCACCATTAAATTCGCTCATTTCTGCATTTAAAAAATTACTGTTAAACCTAAGGAAAGGTATATTTTGTTTGTCCTTTTTGCTGTAGTCTGATTGGTTAACTACAAACAATCCTTTAATCTGATTGGTTGCCTTTTGCTAGCTTTGTATTGTGATTGGCTGGTAAAAAGATGCAATTCGGAGTAAAAACAGTGCGTTTCATGATCAGTCTAAAGCCAAGACTCGAATTCGCCTCCAATTTTTATACCTGATAAAACACTCTCTCCCTCTCGTGTTTTAAACTATATTTTAATACGTATTTCTCTTTTTTGCTTAACTCTGTACCAAGCACTTAATTTTGTAAACTGAAAATCAAATGAGCAATCTTTGCATGCATTGCGGTATAAATTCGAGCCCAGTTTTCTGTTCGAAAAGGGATAGAAATAGTGAAATAATCAATACGATATATTTCGAAGACGTCAAACTTATCACAACCTATTTTACGCGTAAAGTAAAAAAAAACACACTTTAAAACACTACAACGACGCCATATACCTCATTACGGTAACTCGAGTCTAATTAAGCCCTAAATGACACTTATTTCAAAATTATTAACTTTTCATTAAAGCGGCAACTCCAAAGTAATCACGCCGCGTTAAAATTAGCCGTTGTTGTTGTTGCTGTTGTTGTTTTTAACGCTCTCCCTTCGCCTCAAAATTTGCAGATATATTTTGGGGAAACTTTCTCTTGATAAAAAAAAAAAGATTCATTGACGATGAAAAAATGATTCATTGATCTTTTTAAATTACTAGCTTCTCGCAAATTGTCGAAAAACACAGAGCAGAAAATCAAAACGGTCTATTTCTCTAAATTTGAAGTCCCTTCATATCAAGCGATATTTTAGCTCGGAGTAGCGGCCAGAAATAAGTGATTAATATTTCATTATAGCTAGTATTATTATATGTAATATTACTCCTTCAAATAAAGTACAATCCTCTTGCAAGATCATATCATTAGATTATTTAACCAAGGAAATATTGTAATACGGAGAAACGGACGATGTTAAAAGATTTTTAAAGAAAATAGTCCCCGAGCAACAACAGAAAAACGATCACAACTTAGTTACATAGTTTTATTCGAAATTTTTTCTGTGTACAATAAAAAGATCATAATAAAGTAATTTTATTTTAACATGAATATGATTTAATGTAATAATATTACTTAAAAAATATGTATTACAATTAGCAAAATATACAATGAGTTTACTATGTTGTGAACACATAGAAAGATATAATAAATACAGCATAAATATCAAGATATATACGAAAAATAACAACACGAATTAAAACATGAACCGGAACCATCAACCTCGCAACAAGGCTGTTTTTCAACTTAAACTAGTCTCCGATTTCCTTTCAATACCATGTATGTAACAGTTCTAATTGGTCCCTACATTGACTGCGATAAGATAATCAGAGGATAACGGAGCAATTTATATACATGTAGTTCAAGGCCATCCCGACAAACCTAAACAATATTTTTAYCTTGCAATTTTTTCTTCATGACATCTACTGAGTCAACAAAGTCCAGAAGGAAGGCCTCCATTTCTTCATCACTGAACGAGTGTTTTTCTAATGAAGATATAATCTGTTCTTGATGGGGATCGTTTCTTGCGCGTTCAGAAAACTTCGACTTTTTGTCCATGTCAAAACCTTTAGCTTTATCTGAACAACTGGTAAACAATGACAGCAAAAATGTCTTTTTCGACGCTTTTTTCGTTGAGCGAGGCATAAATTCCTTCGAATTGTTCCATGATGAACCACGGCTTTCAGCATACTGACGGCTTAAATTCCATGATGTTTGGATTCGCTTCATGTTCGGTAGTTTAGAGAATAGGACTGAATAAAAACTTTATGTATAAAAAGAGTTTTCAGCAGTAGATTATGAACTGAACACTGCTTGTACTAACACGTGTGCATTGGCTATTATACACAACATGCGCGTATACTCTCCGGGTACTCCCAGCATGCTTTTCGTCAATCAACACACATATTTGGTGCAATTAGCGTCCAGGTTGCCACAGACTACAAGTCCTTCGTGTTCATGCGTAGTAAACTGTAACTATGCCAGTAACATGAGAAATGTTTTTTGAAGCGAGAAAGTAATAAGGTTGCGGGTACACTTCTTGGCGTCACTTTCTTGACTGTTTCTTCGGGCTCTAGACCAAACCTCCCGATCCTCCGGTTAGTGAACGCACATTCTTCATCTACTCACTTCAAAAAAGTAAACAAATTTACATAGGTCGCGAGGATTGAATCTATGAAACTAAGGAGACAAAATTAACTTCCTCCGGGATCTAGACTAAACCTCTCCGTCCTCCTGCTGGCGAACACACATTTTATATCTACTCGCTTCGAAAAAGTAAACAGATTTACACCGGTCGCGAGGAAAGAGTCTATGAAATTAAGGAGCCAAAATCCCCGTACATTTACGAACCAATCATTAAAAATACAGCATGATGCTTTTTGTAACATTTAATTTTATTATATCGTGAGATATAGAAATAACAGAATTTTTGTGTTTTGATGCATATAGCGAATTACAAAAACACAATAACAAAATTTACACTGCACTGAACATAGCAATAATATATATATCAAGAGAATAATGAAAATGAAGGAAGATATTCCTTTTAATAAATTAGCTTTAAAGCTAAAAAACACTAAAAACACTAAAAAACACTAAAACACTAAAAAACACACTATTAACTAAGTTGCACAAAATAGTACTAGTTTGATAGAAAACAAGTCTAGAGGATTAGCATGAGATAAGAGTACAAAATACTACTGCTAATATTTTATAATTTTACTAAATAGACTCTACAAAGCAAACCCAAAGTTTGCAAATGCTTGGCATATATCAAAATACATTTCTCTGATTTATACATGTATCTGAAGGATCTTAGTGAGTCATTGAAATCGATTTAATAATATTAAATTCAATAAATACTAAATCTTATAGTTACATTTTTCTTGCAATATCTTTTTCATGACATCTACGGGGTAGATAAAGTCCAGAAGAAAGCCCTCCATTTCTTCATCACTGAACGAGTGTTTCTTCAAATCTCTTATGATTTGTTCTTGGTTGGGATCGGGTTCAAAAGACATCGACAGTTTTCCCATGCCAAAATAGTCTGCTTTAACTGTTGGGACTCCAGAAATGACTTGACTTCTTTCTTTCTTTCCTTTTTTTTCGTTCCCAAAGCGTTTAACTTCATCCTCATCCTCATCCTCTGGTTTGTTGAATGGCAGTCGGGGAAACATCTTCTTTAACAGTCTTGTGGATGAACGAGAACAAACCTTTTTAGAACCTTCACTTGACGACGAACTGGAAGTTTCAGCTTTGTGATCCATTCTCGGTGTCCGATCTGTGTCGAGTGTTTAGAGTTGACTGAATAGTTTTTTTAAAAGCTAATTGACGAACAAGGAAACGTCACGTGTACAAACAAGTGTACGCCAAGTGTTATATAACACTAAGTATAGTTAGAACAAACACGTGTGTGTTCTCGGTAATGGCTTGATTCTCATTGGTCTTGGAATTCCTGTGTAAAATGGTGGAAGGGGGGAATATGAAGCGATCCCTTAATCATCCTCTCTCTCGTTCCCGGTCCTCACGCAGTCACTTGAGCATTTACAGAAAATACACTTCGCTTTGAAGTTGGAAATGAAATGTGAAGATACATTGTTTATTGTTTATCAATCATTAAAAATACAGTATGATACTTTTTGTGACATTATAATTTTGTTATATCGTGAGACAAAGAAATAACAGAATTTTTGTGTTTTGATGCATATAATGAATTTATTTACATAAGTATGTGGAAAAGGATTAAGAAATGTTGTACAAACACAATAACAAAACTTACACTGCACGGAACATAGCAATAATATATATATCAAGAGAATGATGAAAATGAAGGAAGATATTCCTTTTAATATATATGAAGAAATCCCTTATACTTCCTCTCTCTCGTTCCCAGTCCCCACGCAGTCACTAGAGCATTTCTTCGCTTTGAAATTGAGAGGTAAATGTGAAGATACATTATTCATTATTTATTATTTTACCGAAAACGCAAAAAATCCAAATTTGATTCTTTGCTAGGAATATGTTGGGGAAGGCTATGCGTCTCAGGTCGTTACAGACGTACCAGTAGCTAGATTTTCCTTAATTACGCACAAAAATCTACACTTAATCTACATTAAAACAAAGTTCATTACACGAAATATTTAGTAAATAAACCCCTTCTGACGGCTGGGATATCGGCTGATAATGTCCGAGGATAAGAAATGGTCCGAAAAATGAACTTTGAGGACTATTTCTCTTCCGAGGACATTATCAGCCGATATCCCAGTGAGCCAAGAAGGGGTTTATTTATTTTATATCCCTASGAATTCATTTTGTTGTGTTGAGGAAGAAAAGCCATCAAAGTGCAAGGTAAAATCTACACACGATGTGATTGGTTCACAGTAATTTTTTCGTTATTTCATTGGTTAATCATTTGACAAGTGTTGACAAGGCGGCAAAAGTCTCTACTGAAGTAAAAAGTACAAATTTATTATTACGCATATTTTCGCAAAAAGTATTTCTTCAAACGTGCTGACATTTTGATTTTACATGGAGTGTTATATAAAAAAAGGTACAGCGAATTTTCCAACAGTGATACTTAGTAATTCCAGTTTTCGACGATTTACTCTAAAACTAACAGTCGGATCATCTTGAAATTTTTAGAATTGGTTTATCTCATCAAACTGCATAAAGGCTAGCGAGCGAGTTAAAAAAATACAAAATTTGTGTTTCATTTAGTTGTGATCCACCTTAAACTAAATATTCTAAAGGTTTTCAACGGAATACTCCAAAATTCGGTAAATTTACTAATTTCAACTTTGTCTTTACTTTTCAGTGGTGTTGATATCTTTTTACCAGCAATTCGATTTCGAATGCCGGAGTTTTCTGTGAAATGGGCAATTGGCTCATAAAGATTCATTGATCGTTTCTTAAAATTCCGAAAAATTGATGTCTTTTGATTCAATACTATTGTGTTTCAAAAACGTAAATTAGTACATTACATACGCTATTGATCAAGATAACTTAATTTCCAGTTACCAAAGAGAGATATGCTATCGGTTCTTACCAAGGAAATCTTCATCTTTATTTTGTTGAAATTTTCACTATTATACACTGTCTTAGCGACGTTATTCGAATCAAATGGCTCTGAAAAGAAAAGATATATGTCAAAAAAGGATACATCATTATCCAGGGATAAAATCCATAGAAAATCTAACGTAGTGGATAACTTTTTCCACCTTCATTCATTTTTCACCTTTCAGGGGCGGATCCAGCATTTTATAAGGGAGGGGGGATGTTTGTCAGTAATATTTGGAAATGATCATTATTGTCTAGAGCAAGAAAGTTATGCACAATTTGACCGGAAGCAAATTGACTTTCATTGCAACGTATCTTTGAATACACTACTCAAATAGATTGGCAGGTAGCATAGTGGCAGACACATGTTATGTATACTACTAGTTTTGTCGATTAAAGTACAACAGGAGTATAAACAGCAGAAACAACGTTTATAATGGTATGTTAAAAAATACGTCGTCAAAAAAGGGAATGCGTCCGCACCCAAAGAAACTCCCCCTGGATCCACCCCTGCCTTTCTCGTGAATATATCGGACAACTACTTTACGGCAATTGCACGACCACCTTTCACAGGGGAACAGGAAATAACTATTTTCAGATTCCACTTTGACAAACTAGAGGACTGAGCAGGCAGATCCATTTAGAAGCTAACATGGCGCCATTGGATGTTTGATGCTCCATCCAATAATATCAAATAAAGCGATCTATAAAGGCAAAATGTAGGACTGCAAAAGACGATTGTTGGTGCAACGTGCTCCAAGGTTTCAGGCTTGCCCAGTGCTTTAATTCAAGAATTTGCAATAAATATCTACCTACTAAATATCAACCCTACTAAGACTCCACAGGTTTCACTACAACACAGTTTCAATGGAGTCTTGTGCAATCTTTCCTACTATATACTACTCTGACTGATATGGTATTTACCACATTGAGAACTCTTTGACGATTAGAGATTTGGCACTCGTATAATTTATTTATTTATTTATTTACCTTCAATGTATATATATTTGTTTTTTGGGAGCACTCCAAACTCCGTACTGTACACTCGACCAAGGCGAACACTGATAACACTGGAACTCCAACTGAAAGCACCAAAAAAGGAATTAATAGTATTTCATATCACGGTCACAAAAAACCCTACAATACGAACAGCGCGAGGTTTGAATCTTTATGAGCAACTTTATTCATTTGTAACTCGGAGATTGCGTAAGCAATCGAAGAGTTATTGGAGGGGATGATGTGTCACTCACTCACTTTCCTGTCAACTTTAAAGATAGCCGCTGAAAAAAATCGCAGGCTCTCAAAATCCGCAGAAAAAAATCGCAGGCTCTCAAAATGACAGACCAAGAAATAACCGGGGAAATATAACGTCTAAAGCTGGTCTAAGAGACAATTTTCGGTGAAATTTACTTGACTTACTTGGAGTACATCGTACTTAGTCATTTTGAAGAAAGTTAGAAAATTTGGATGGATATCGAAACAAGTTTTGTAGCCGAATTTGTTGCCGGCGAAGACTGACTGCGATCGTAGGTTTGTTGATGATACTACAGCAATACAATGTTTTACACTTTTCAATTTCATATTTTTTTTCAAATCACCCTACAATCTCCGAGTTGTGTTGCCATTGGCAGCTTGATTCTAAAATAATTGATATATAACAAGCGCTGTGATTGGTCAAAAAATCGTGCTTTGATGAGAGTATCAAGCATGCTCGCCCCATCTTTGCTTTGTGGATTGTACTCTCATTGTAAAAATTAACATTTTTGATAGATAAAACAAACACAATTATTTCATTATTTCTTGAAGTCGTAGAAAATGGTTATTTGTGTACTCGCTTTATTTTCTGTATGGTTTACAAATTCTACGCACCATTTTCATAAATTAAAACTGGTCTGTCAAATTGAAGGTCGAGCATTATAAGTTAAGCGTATTCCTTTGATAAAACGTGCTTCCTGTAAAATTGACACCAACTACAAATCATAAAACTATTCCAAAAAGTAACAATTGTATCAAGATTAATTTTCATGATTAACTGACATCATTTTTTCCACGCTTCCCCTTTCTCCTATTTGATTCTTGTCACGTATTTCTCGGCTTAGTCACGAAAGTGCATGTCACGCAAAGTTGACTTACCTGAAAGTATTCGAGAAATACTGAAAGAAACCTAGTAGAAGCTCGCCAAGGGATTCAACGTTCTGTGACCTTGATATGCTGCGAAACATTGGACAGAAAAAAATTAAGATTTTTGGACAGGATGTTCAAATACGAGCCCGATGTTCAGGCTGTTATTCAACATTCAACTTTTTCTGAAATATTTGTATACTGTGCAGTAACGTTTTATCAAAAAACAACAACAAAAAACAATGTGATGCTTAAATAAATGTCACTACTGCAAAGGATTATAAGTGTACATAAACACGTCGTCATGGGAACGACACCGATTAGGCATTGGAATAAATCATGAAAAGCATGTATCCTTTCCTGTTACGTAATATTCAATACAATTCTTACTTCCTTTCTTGAAAAAACTTTTGTACGTCTAACTTCATCAAGTCTTGAACATTCCCATCGTCACTAAAAAAATCCTGCGACAAAGAAGAATCATGCTGAGAAAGTGTATTAGGCAACGTACGGGCAGTGATGGTGATTTTCTTGAGCAAAGCATGACGGTAAAATAAAACATTGCGATTTTTTAAGATTCCACAAAACACTCTTTCGTGTTTTATAGTTTGTAAGTAATTCTATCGTTCCTGTAGAAAAATAAAAAAAGAGACGAGTGCCATCACATCATGATTTGCTGTACAAAATGGCGTCAGTGCAACATTGTCTATTGCCATATTAGTATAAGAACATATTGATGGTCTATCACTCATACTGCGCTGTGATTGGCTACTCTACTAATGGTCTAATTTGTGATAGACCACTCGCGGGAAAATCTATCTCATTAATAAATTATTTTAAGGATATTTCAATTTGTTTTCATTATTTGACCGATTAGTATGTTTATACTAAAACAATTAGACCTCTCGGCCTCGTGGACTACGAGCTAATAGCCCATTCGGCCTCGCGGACTCGGCCTTTTGGGCTATTAGCTCGTAGTCCACTCGACCTCGAGGTCTAATTGTTAAATAATAAACAATGACAGAAGTACATAACCAGAAGTGTCCATCTCCGCATTGGTATCGCCACCATCAGATGTCCCGATAATCTATTTTTAGACAACCAATCACAACGCGCGCACATATTACACGGCACCTGATTGGTCCTTGTTGATCTACTTCAAGAGCGGACAAGAAAGGAAAATTATGTAGTCGATGGAGGCGAACGAAGTGAAGTTTTCATTTACGAGAATTTTACACCTTTTGCTGAACAACCATTTTTGAATTCGATAGAAAACATTCTTTACTATATAAGCAATGTAGCGAAGGAAGTTCAAGAGCAATATAGTCTGCAAAAACAAGAGAAAAGTTCAGACAAAGATGAAGAAAAATGCAAAACAGCGTGCGAAAAAAGTAGTCTAAAGTAGCTTTCTTACAGTCAATAGAGTCGGACTTAAAGAAAACCAAAGGTTAAGTAATTTGATAGACAACATACTTTACTATATGAGCAATGTAGCGAAGGAAGTTCAAGAGCAATATGGTCTGCGAAAACAAGGGAAAAGTTCAGACAAAGACGAAGAAAAATGTAAAACAGCGTGCTAAGAAAAGTAGTGTAAAGTAGCTTCCTTACAGTCAAATAGAGCTGGACTTAAACAAAGCCAAAGGTAAAGTAATTTTCGACTCTTAACGTGAGATGGAAAAGCTGTAAATTTTCAGGTAGGCGGGGCCGGTTTGTTTTGAAATTCAGACATTTCTTCGCACTCCTTTTGTCTGCATATTTTTCTTCGTTTTTGTCTGAACTTTTCCCTTGTTTTCGCAGACCATATTGCTCTTGAACTTCCTTCGCTACATTGCTCATATAGTAAAGTATGTTGTCTATCAAATTACTTAACCTTTGGTTTTCTTTAAGTCCGACTCTATTGACTGTAAGAAAGCTACTTTAGACTACTTTTTTCGCACGCTGTTTNGTTTATTCCTCGCTTTTTCTTTTAAAGAACAATCATTTTTTCAACTCCTTACACAATGAAGAGTTCACAATATAATATCATCATTTTGCTAAAAGAGTTTTTGATTGAGTTTTTGTGACATTTTTCGCACTCGGGCATCGTTTTGTATTAGTTTTCCCCTTTTTATAAAGCTTTTTAGATCCTAAAATACTTTACTACAATTCTATGTATAGTCTAAGGGCTTTTTAATTCTATTAGAACAGATTTCTTATTAAAACGAGAACAATTCTCGCCACAAAAATCACATTTTTGCAGACATTTCTTCGCACTCCTTTTGTCTGCATATTTTTCTTCGTTTTTGTCTGAACTTTTCCCTTGTTTTCGCAGACCATATTGCTCTTGAACTTCCTTCGCTACATTGCTCATATAGTAAAGTATGTTGTCTATCAAATTACTTAACCTTTGGTTTTCTTTAAGTCCGACTCTATTGACTGTAAGAAAGCTACTTTAGACTACTTTTTTCGCACGCTGTTTTGCATTTTTCTTCATCTTTGTCTGAACTTTTCTCTTGTTTTTGCAGACTATATTGCTCTTGAACTTCCTTCGCTACATTGCTTATATAGTAAAGAATGTTTTCTATCGAATTCAAAAATGGTTGTTCAGCAAAAGGTGTAAAATTCTCGTAAATGAAAACTTCACTTCGTTCGCCTCCATCGACTACATAATTTTCCTTTCTTGTCCGCTCTTGAAGTAGATCAACAAGGACCAATCAGGTGCCGTGTAATATGTGCGCGCGTTGTGATTGGTTGTCTAAAAATAGATTATCGGGACATCTGATGGTGGCGATACCAATGCGGAGATGGACACTTCTGGTTATGTACTTCTGACAATGAATGATTTTCAACATAAGATAACAGGTGCGTACGCTTCTATACGCTTGTAATGCGCACGCGCGAAGAAACAGCATATTCAGTTTTAACTCAATCTCGTTCCAGAGCCCGCGTTCCTCTTGGCCTGAGGTTGCTCGCGCCCTCAGGCCAAGAGGAACGCGGGCTCTGGAACGAGATTGAGTTTAAACTTTAATAAAACAATTAGGATTTGTGCTCTTTTTTAGTTAAGATGCAGGTATCTGTTAACTCAGATGCTTATGAGTGCTTGCCAATGTGCTGTCAAGACAAGGTGCTTATCACGAGAGAAAAAAAAATCCCCCACCTTGTTTGATATGCGAAGCCCCTAACGCCGCAGACCACAGCCCGCCGGCAACGAAGGCTTCTGTACGATAAATCAAAACACATGACACAAACGCTTGTAAAAAGACAACACGTTTCTTGTCTTTCATATTACGCTGTGATGCATGTTATGCTTATTCTAAAAGTTGTAGTAAAGAGTACTATATTTAATGACGTTTTAAAGATCAGTATTTTATATATATGGAAGTACATTATTGAATACTTACTGGAAACATCTGTTGAAGTGAAGGAAGAACGGGGGGTTTACATCCACCTGAGATTATAATAAGATTACATGCTCAAGGCAGAGAATTGTAAGATAAAATAAAAACCTAACATTGTCACGCAACGTTCTGTTGATTGTTGATCGTCAGTGTTTTTCATTTTTTTATATTTATCGCCTAATTTATGTTGGGCGACAACTTTCGGTGATACTGACCGACTTCAATAAATTTTGGGTCTCGGAGTTTCGCCATAACTTTGAGCGACTTTGTACAATATGATTTTCAATAGCAGATATTGCACTATATCATATAACCCGAATTTCAGCCCTACGCGCGCTCTTAAAAAACCTTTAGAAAATGGTCACCGTACGCCTTTTCGCGACAGGGCCGTACAAACCCGTATCTTCCCGGCTTGAAGCTTTGATCAAAGAAATGGCTTAAAAAACGCTGTCCTATGATAAAATGCCTATTGACTGAGTTAGGTCGAGCAGTACGGGAAAAATATTTGGCTCTCCACATAACCTCCAGCCAAATATTTTCCCGTACGGCCCTCCCACTCATTCAATAAGTACATAATAACGGCGATTTTGTGCGATTTTGATTAGTCAATTCAGTCCGGGAGTATCTCAACAGTGCTAATTCTGTTTAATGGGTTCATGGAATTAAAAAGCAAGTCCAAAATGTCTGATTATTCACCTACATTGAAGGAAATGAATTGTCATGAGAGTTAATGCGTAGCTAGACAGAGTACCATCCTTTGCTTCGTTAATCCCATGCGTTTTGGCCCATTTTTTGATAACCATCACAAGTGGACATAGCCTCTTCTCCACTGATGACAGAAAGAAAGTATTCATATAGAATAACTGTCAGTGGTCATGGAATAAATGTTATTTATCATATAATTATTTATGAAATACCTATATTTTTCTAATGTAAAGTTGATATTTTCACTAGTGAAAATAACACAGTCGAGGTAAGAAGGAAAAAGCTATTTTACGACATACTTTACTCGTGTTGAAAATCTTTTTTGCTAAGCTCACTCGTTAGAGATCTTTTCGACACTCAAAGATAAAATACGTATCTCCGAGCGCCCATGCAATATCCTCAATTTATATAGCCGACAAGTAATAGCGACTTATAATGGTCGTTTTATCTAATTAATGACATTGGGGAGATGCACTGCGACTGACAAAAGTACAAACTAAGCCATTTTGTTGGTCTTTGGAAGTGTTTTTAGTGTTTCAGACGTTTTTTTCTTTTTCTTTTTCTTTTTCTTTCTTTTTGAATTTCTAATTGCATCGACCTAGACTTTCTTTACCACACGCTAGTAGCTAGATATTTCCAAGGGATTCTTGGCTTTCGATGGCATAAAATTCATTGAGTAGATTCGTCCTTCGGATTATCTTGATACTTACATCAATACTATAATGCACCTCACCAAAGCACATGAAGTCAATAGACAAAACAAAATATTTACTTCCTGTGAAACTACAATCGTTGCCAAAAAAAAAACCTTCGACCATAGAATTTTTTGTCTTCCTAACATTTTTCTCCTGTATTTTTTTTATTTCCCACTCCTTCCCTTCTCATCTATGTTGGGTCTTGTTTTGAATGGTTGTGTACTATGGYAACATGCTCAATCACAACATTGCATTTAGGGGCATTTAGGGGGTCAGGGGRGATGAAATTGTCTGCAGGTGTTGCTTAAAATGAGGAAATTCGCTGGAATGGTCCAATAATTTTGTCAACGTTTGTAGAATACATTATTTTGTTCACAAGACAGACCTGCATTCCAACAAGAGGTTTAAGGGTTTTTAAGAGGTTTATGTTTCTTACTCTACTTCCTATTACCTTCACAGTACGCTTTCAATAAGAATGTGTTCCTTATTCCCTGCAATGATATCAATGAATCGTTGAGTAGGAGCGAAGAAGAATTGATTGGTTGAATAAATATTGAATGCTTTGGTTGAGAGATCGATGGATGGATGAATKATTCCCTGAACGTTTGAAAAATAGTACCAAATGAATGAACGAACCAAAAGGCGGACGATCAAGTGAAGGTACAAACCCCGACACATGAATAAATGGACATCAAACGAACGAGCCAATAGAAGGACAAACAAAGTAACGACTAAACGAACAAAAGAAATGAAAGAAATGAAAAAAAATAAAGACGGACGAGCAAATGCATGGAAAAAACAACAACGAGAAGAGAAGTGTTGCTACCATAGCGCAATGATTCTTGTGAATTTATGCATTTATGTTAATTTATGTATTCTGTTGCACGTTCTCATGAGTTCGGTATGTATTTTCTTTGTTCTTATTTATGTCGCTTTTTATTGTTTGCAATGCTATATTTTTGTTTTAGAAAACCTGTAACCGTAAATGTGTTATCCTGCCAACTGTACTACTAGCTGTTTAATAAATTAGAAGTGCTGAAGATGGTTTAGTGACGGAGCTTTTTGTCGTGCACATGCTCAGTATTTTCACTCTAATATTCGTAAGGTGCCTGAATCAATTCTTTAGCGTGGGAACGGGTAGTTCCAAGGACGCAACAAGAAGTAACGAAATAAAAAGGCGAGAAGACAGAAGAGCGAAGTAGGAACAAGTAAAACAACAAACGAAAACCGAACAATGAATGAATGTACAATAATATAACAGTAAAGGCTGATTTACACAGCACGATTGTCTCGTGCGATTTGTAGTATACGCCTTGAATCGCGCAGTGTAAATGCCCCTACGACTTGTCTACAACAGTCGTACGCAACCTACGACTTGTAGTAGGATTTTGAACCACTGCTTAAAGGGACACTGTCAATGGCACGCATGCGCGAGTAAACCTGAAAACACTAGGCTAGTGTTTTCAAGTTTATGACTCCAAGTTGGCGCGACATAAATCAGATCGTGAACGTAAACAGATCTAGTATATTCCAAAGTGTGTCAAAAGCACCACAAAATGATTTACCTGGAAGGTTATACTTTCAAAGTCCGTTAGAGGTGAGACTGTTACTGCGCATGTCATCCATTGACAGTGTCCCTTTAAAATCCTACGACTTGTAGTAGGAAAATCGTACACTACAAGTCGCGCGCGACAAATCGTACCGTGTAAATCAGCCTTAAGAAAAAATGAATGATTGAACTAGTGAATGAAATAAAATAGTAAATGAACAAAAAGGAAACCTACCACATGGTTATTG